ATGCTTGTAGATCGCATATGTGATCTGCAAGCATATGCGATCTGCAAGCATATGTGATCTGCAAGCATATACGATCTGCAAGCATATGGCATATGCCAGATGCGATCTGCAAGCATATGCCACGTTCGATCTGCAAGCATATGCGATCTGCAAGCATATGCCATATGCGATCTGCAAGCATATGCCACATTCGATGTGCAAGCATATGCGATCTGCAAGCATATGCGATCTGCAAGCATATGCAATCTGCAAGCATATGCCAGATGCGATCTGCAAGCATATGCCACATTCGATCTGCAAGCATTTCTTCGTATGCTTCATATGCTTCATATGCTTCATATGAAGCATATGCACATATGCACATATGCTTCATATGCACATATGCACATGTGTTTCATATGCACAAATGCTTCATATGCAAGCATATGCCACATGCGATGTGCAATCATATGTGCTCTGCAATCATATGTGATCTGCAAGCATATGTGATCTGCAAGCATATACGATCTGCAAGCATATGTGATCTGCAAGCATATGCGATCTGCAAGCATATGCCAGATGCGATGTGCAAGCATATGCAATCTGCAAGCATATGCGATCTGCTTGCATATGCAACGGACAAGCACGACACATACTGTCCGCGCAATGCAGGAATCAGCCATCAGCCAGCACAGGAGCTACGGCCCACTCGCGCGAACAGCGCGCTCTAGTCTGTAGCCGTAGCGACTACGTAGTAGTCTAGCGGAGGCCTTAGGCCGAGTCGGCGTCCGTCCGTAGCCGTAGCGACTTTGGGAGCGGAGGCCTTAGGCTGGGGCGGCCGTCCGTAGCCGTAGCGACTTTGGGAGCGGAGGCCTTAGGCTGGGGCGGCCGTCCGTCTGTAGCCGTAGCGACTTTGGGAGCGGAGGCCTTAGGCTGGGGCGGCCGTCCGTCTGTCTGTCCGTAGCCGTAGCGACTTTGGGAGCGGAGGCCTTAGGCTGGGGCGGCCGTCCGTCTGTCTGTCCGTCCGTCTGTCCCTCCGTCTGTCCACCCAGTCGCCGGTTCAACCCCTAGTGCGCCGCTTTTTTCTTTTTGCGCGCCGCTTTTCTTCTTTTTTTTCTTCGTATGCTTCATATGCTTCATATGCTATGCTTCATATGCTTCATATGCACATATGCATCTTATGCGATATGCGATATGCAGCGATAGCAGATCGCAAACTTCAACGTGCAAATTTCAGCACACGCACATATGCATGATATGCTTCATATGCTTCATATGCTTGATATGCACATATGCACATCTGCGTCTTATGCGATATGCGATATGCAGCGATAGCAGGTCGCAAACTTCAACGTGCAAACTTCAACACGCGCACTTCACGATACGTGCACACGCACATATGCATGATATGCTTCATATGCTTCATATGCTTGATATGCACATATGCATATTATGCGATATGCGATATGCAGCGATAGCAGATCGCAAACTTCAACGTGCAAACTTCAACACACGCACATATGCATGATATGCTTCATATGCTTCATATGCTTGATATGCACATATGCACATCTGCATCTTATGCGATATGCGATATGCAGCGATAGCAGATCGCAAACTTCAACGTGCAACCTTCACCACGCAAATTTCGACGCGCAAACTGCTGCCGAACTTTGCACGTTTAACTACTATATTCCTAATTTCAACGCACGAAGCCCGACACGTAAGGCTAAACATCCAAACTTCGACGCGCAGCAAACTTTTACACACAGCTCGCCGTGCAATATTGAACACACAACGTCACACGCGCACTTCGATGCGCAAACGTTAGAGCACACGTGCAACCGTAGTGCGCAATTCAAGTGCGCATGGTGCGCAAAGTTCAACGTGCATACTTCAACATGCGAACTTCAACAAGCGAGCTGTTGCTGCACTTTGGATGTTGAAATACTATATTTCTATCAATTTCAACGCACGAAGCCCGACACGTGCAGCTCAACAAACTTCAACACGCATCAAACTTTCACACACGGCTCAGTCAATAGGAGGTTGGACACACACACACGTGCACTTCGGCGCGCAAACGTTAGAGCACAAGAGTGCAACCGCGCGCCGAAACACAGTTCTAAACGCGCAATTCAACGTGCAATTCAACGTATAATTTGACGCGGAATTCAACACGCGCTTCAGCATGCAAATCGACGTGCGTTTCAACGTGTGCTTGAACGCGCGCGTTCGTATGTCGTATCGGTTTGCAGCTTCCGCATCGGAAATACTGCCGTACGCGCTTCAGGCAGCATCGTCTGGATTCTTTGACGTTTCTGAACTTTGCGCGTTGACTTTTCTTGTGCATCCGACTTCGCGCGTTGAACTTCGCGTGCTAATCTTTGCATATCCAATTCCTCCGCATCGAACTTTGCGCGTTCGACTTTGCGCGTTGAACTTTCCGCATTATAACGTGCTCGCATTAGAACGCAATTCAATTCACCTGTCAACCGATTGCAACTGTCACCACAACGATTTCTTTTTTTTCTTCTTATGCTTCATATGCTTCATATGCTTCGTATGCTTCATATGCTTCATATGCACAGCTGCACGTATGCTTCATATGCACATATGCACATATGCTCCATCTGCACAAACGCGCAGTTCGACGCGCAATTCTCGCTTTGTGCGCGCCTCCACTTTTGCGCATCTCCACTTTTGCGCACCGTGCACAGATTTATTTATGCTATCCGAACTACCTAGGCAGGCTCAACTCCTCTTTGTGCGCAACTTCAAAATTGTGCACATCGAGGTTTGCGCGGTGCTGGGCCTTGTGCGTTTATTTCTGTTGCGGCCCCAACTTTGCATCTCCAATTCCTCCGCCACGAATTTTGCATTTTGTACTTCTGATTATAACGTGTTCGCAATAGAACGTAAAGCAAAATAACCTGTCTACCGATTGCAGCTGTTACCAGCCGCCGCCTTGCACTTTGCACGGAGGGCAGTTTGCGCCGGGCCTTATGTGTGGATTTGTGTTGTGGCCCCGGCTTTATACGCTATACTTTGCGTGTTCACCTCTGCATATATCTTTCTTACAGTAACAACCTGACCGCTTTAAACTTCACGCGTTGAATCTTCTTCTGCATCCGACTTCGCACGTTAAAGCTACTCTTTGCAACTCCCTCTCCTCCGCGTCGAACTTTCCGCGTTCGGCTTTGCGCATCTACCATTCCGCATAATAACGTGTTCACGCTTAATTTCCACTGTCGACCGAGCGCAACTGTGCTGGGCCTGGTGCCTTTCCGGTCTTCTTTCCTCCAACTTTGCGCATCTCCAGTTTTGCGCACTGTGCGCAGATTTATTTATGCTACCCGATCTACCTAAGCAGACTCAACTCCTCTTTGTGCGCAACTTCAAAATTGTGCACATCGAGGTTTGGGCGGTGCTGGGCCTTGTGCGTCTATTTCTGTTGCGGCCCCAACTTTGCATATCCAATTCCTTCGCCTCGAGCTTCGCATTCTGTACTTCTGATTAGAACGGAGCAGGAGCACAGCGCCTAGTGGTTCCGCGCAATTCAGGAATCAGCCAGCAGCCAGCATCAGCCATCAGCCAGCACACCGGCTTTGCGCATGTACCATTCCGCATAATAACGTGCTCCCGCTTAAGTTCCACTCTCCACCGAGCGCAACTGTGCTGAGCCTTGTGCCTTTCCGGGTTTCGCTTTGTGCGCGCCTCCAACTTTGCGCATCTTCAGTTTTGCGCGCCGTGCGCAGATTTATTTATGCTATCCGATCTGCCTAAGCAGGCTCAACTTCTCTCTGTGCGCATCTTCAAAATTGTGCACATCCACGTTTGCGCGGTGCCGGGCCTTGTGCGCTTATTTCTGTTGCGGCCCCAACTTTGCATATCCAATTCCTCCGCCTCTAATCTTGCATTTTGTACTTCTCAATATAACGTGTTCCCAATAGAACGTAAAGCAAATTGCAGCTGTTACCAGCCGCCGCCTTGCACTTTGCACGAAGTACAGTTTGCGCCGGGCCTTATGTGTGGAGTTGTGTTGTGGCCCCGACTTTATACGCTATGCTTTGCGTGTTCACCTCTGCATAACAACTCTTTAAACTTAACGCCTTGCATCTTCTTCTGCATCGCGCGTTAAAGCTAATCTTTACATCTCCCTTTCCTCCGCCTCAAACTTTCCGCGTTCGGCTTTGCGCATATACCATTCCCCATAATAACGTGTTCCCGCTTAGTTTCCATTGTCCACCGAGCGCAACTGTGCTGGGCCTTGTGCCTTCCCGGTTGTCGCTTTGTGCGCGCCTCCAACTTTGCGCATCTCCGGTTTTGCGCACCGTGCGCAGCTTTATTTATGCTATCCCATCTACCTCAGCAGGCTCAACTCCTCTTTGTCCGCATCTTCAAAATTGTGCACATGGAGGTCTGCGCGGTCCAGCGCGCTTCCAGCTGGTTTGCATGCTTAAACTCGGTCGTATATCGCTGCTCCGTCTCGCGTGCTGCCTGCCAGGACATCGGCCCCGGCTGCTGAAGCAGGCAGCTGAGACGGAGCCTGCGCCTACTGAAGCAGGCAGCACGCGAAACGGAGCAGCGGTACACGACCCGGTTCCAGCATGCACGCCAGCTGGAAACCCGCTGGACCCACTAGTTGACAGTTGAAGCCACGACCCGCCACTGTACGGCGTTAAATGACAGCGTCCGGACCCCGGACGACACGCTCGCTCCCTACGGGAAGGAATGGGGAGCTGTCCACCTGTGTGTGGAGCCCCCTGCGGGTTCGAGTCCCACGCGAGCGTTTCACACTGGCTGACAGGCTAAAGTTGCGTGCTACCCTCTGCAACCTCAGTTTCCTTCCGCCTTCATATTGTGTGTGTGTGTGGCCCTTAAGCGCCATATGTGCTTCTGAGGGCCGCTTGCTATACTTGCTGCGGAATGTCTGATTTGCATATACCAAGCAGCCCTCCCGAGCATGGCGCATATTGATTCCGCGCAATGCAGGAAACAGCCATCAGCCAGCACAGGAGCTACGGCCCACTCGCGCGAACAGCGCGCTCTAGTCCGTCCCTCTGTCCACCAAGTCGTCGGTTCAATCCCCAGCGCGGGCGTGTTTTTTTCTTTGCGCGCTTTTTTTTCTTTTTTTTGCTTCGTATGCTTCATATGCTTCTTATGCTTCATATGCACGTATGCACGTATGCTTCATATGCACATATGCACATCTGCACATATGCACATATGCACATATGCACATATGCACATATGCACATATGCACATATGCACATATGCACATATGCTTCATATGCACATATGCACATGTGTTTCATATGCACAAATGCTTCATATGCAATCATATGCCACATGCGATGTGCAATCATATGTGATCTGCAATCCTATGTGATCTGCAAGCATATACGATCTGCAAGCATATGTGATCTGCAAGCATATGCGATCTGCAAGCATATGCCAGATGCGATCTGCAAGCATATGCCACATTCGATGTGCAAGCATATGCGATCTGCAAGCATATGCGATCTGCAAGCATATGCAAACTGCAAGCATATGCCAGATGCGATCTGCAAGCATATGCCACATTCGATCTGCAAGCATTTCTTCGTATGCTTCGTATGCTTCATATGCTTCATATGCACATATGCACATATGCACATCTGCTTCATATGCACATATGCACATGTGTTTCATATGCACAAATGCTTCATATGCAAGAATATGCCACATGCGATGTGCAATCATATGTGATCTGCAATCATATGTGATCTGCAATCATATGTGATCTGCAAGCATATACGATCTGCAAGCATATGTGATCTGCAAGCATCTGCGATCTGCAAGCATATGCCAGATGCGATCTGCAAGCATATGCCACATTCGATGTGCAAGCATATGCGATCTGCAAGCATATGCGATCTGCAAGCATATGCAATCTGCAAGCATATGCCAGATGCGATCTGCAAGCATATGCCACGTTCGATCTGCAAGCATATGCGATCTGCAAGCATATGCCAGATGCGATCTGCAAGCATATGCCACATTCGATGTGCAAGCATATGCGATCTGCAAGCATATGCGATCTGCAAGCATATGCAATCTGCAAGCATATGCCAGATGCGATCTGCAAGCATATGCCACATTCGATCTGCAAGCATTTCTTCGTGTGCTTCATATGCTTCATATGCTTCATATGAAGCATATGCACATATGCACATATGCACATATGCTTCATATGCACATATGCACATGTGTTTCATATGCACAAATGCTTCATATGCAAGCATATGCCACATGCGATGTGCAATCATATGTGCTCTGCAATCATATGTGATCTGCAAGCATATGTGATCTGCAAGCATATACGATCTGCAAGCATATGTGATCTGCAAGCATATGCGATCTGCAAGCATATGCCACATTCGATGTGCAAGCATATGCGATCTGCAAGCATATGCGATCTGCAAGCATATGCAATCTGCAAGCATATGCCAGATGCGATCTGCAAGCATATGCCACATTCGATCTGCAAGCATTTCTTCGTATGCTTCATATGCTTCATATGCTTCATATGAAGCATATGCACATATGCACATATGCTTCATATGCACATATGCACATGTGTTTCATATGCACAAATGCTTCATATGCAAGCATATGCCACATGCGATGTGCAATGATATGTGCTCTGCAATCATATGTGATCTGCAAGCATATGTATCTGCAAGCATATACGATCTGCAAGCATATGTGATCTGCAAGCATATGCGATCTGCAAGCATATGCCAGATGCGATGTGCAAGCATATGCAATCTGCAAGCATATGCGATCTGCAAGCATATGCAACGGACAAGCACGACACATACTGTCCGCGCAATGCAGATATGAGCCATCAGCCAGCACAGGAGCTACGGCCCACTCGCGCGAACAGCGCGCTCTAGTCCGTCCGTCCCTCTATCCACCAAGTCGTCGGTTCAACCCCCAGCGCGGGCGTTTTATTTTCTTTGCGCGCTTTTTTTTCTTTTTTTTGCTTCGTATGCTTCATATGCTTCTTATGCTTCTTATGCTTCATATGCACGTATGCACGTATGCTTCATATGCACATATGCACATATGCACATATGCACATATGCTTCATATGCACATATGCACATGTGTTTCATATGCACAAATGCTTCATATGCAATCATATGCCACATGCGATGTGCAATCATATGTGATCTGCAAGCATATGTGATCTGCAAGCATATACGATCTGCAAGCATATGCCAGATGCGATCTGCAAGCATATGCCACATTCGATGTGCAAGCATATGCGATCTGCAAGCATATGCGATCTGCAAGCATATGCAAACTGCAAGCATATGCCAGATGCGATCTGCAAGCATATGCCACATTCGATCTGCAAGCATTTCTTCGTATGCTTCGTATGCTTCATATGCTTCATATGCTTCATATGCACATATGCACATATGCACATATGCTTCATATGCACATATGCACATGTGTTTCATATGCACAAATGCTTCATATGCAAGAATATGCCACATGCGATGTGCAATCATATGTGATCTGCAATCATATGTGATCTGCAATCATATGTGATCTGCAAGCATATACGATCTGCAAGCATATGTGATCTGCAAGCATCTGCGATCTGCAAGCATATGCCAGATGCGATCTGCAAGCATATGCCACATTCGATGTGCAAGCATATGCGATCTGCAAGCATATGCGATCTGCAAGCATATGCAATCTGCAAGCATATGCCAGATGCGATCTGCAAGCATATGCCACATTCGATCTGCAAGCTTCGTATGCTTCATATGCTTCATATGCTTCATATGAAGCATATGCACATATGCACATATGCACATATGCTTCATATGCACATATGCACATGTGTTTCATATGCACAAATGCTTCATATGCAAGCATATGCCACATGCGATGTGCAATCATATGTGCTCTGCAATCATATGTGATCTGCAAGCATATGTGATCTGCAAGCATATACGATCTGCAAGCATATGTGATCTGCAAGCATATGCGATCTGCAAGCATATGCCAGATGCGATGTGCAAGCATATGCAATCTGCAAGCATATGCGATCTGCAAGCATATGCAACGGACAAGGACGACACATACTGTCCGCGCAATGCAGGTATCAGCCATCGGTCAGCACAGGAGCTACGGCCCACTCGCGCGAACAGCGCGCTGTAGTCCTTCCGTCCGTTTGTCCACCTAGTCTCCGGTTCAATCCCCCGCGCGCGCGCGTCTTTTTTTTCTCGCGCTTTTTTTTCTAATTTTTCTTCGTATGCTTCGTATGCTTCGTATGCTTCGTATGCTTCATATGCTTCATATGCTTCATATGCTTCATATGCTTCATATGCTTCATATGCTCATATGCTCATATGCACATATGCACATATGCTTCA